AGCCACTGTAATGGGTGGTAAGACTTGGGTTTTTTGTTATTATTACAAACAATGCTTCTCTAGATATACTTAGTATCTTATTTTATTTTCAATTTGCAGGCTTACCCTGTTGCCCACACTGGAGTGCAGTGGCATAATCATGGCTCGCTACAACCTTGATCTCTTGGACTCAGGCGATCCTTCTGCTTCAGCCTCCCGAGTAGCTTGGACTTCAAGTGTGTACCACCATGCCTGGCTAATTTTTAAAAAACTTTTGTAGAGACGAAAGCTGCCTAGGCTGTTCTTGAACTTTTGGACTCAAGCCCTCCTCCTGCCTCAGCCTCCCAAAGTTCTGGGACTATAGATATAAGCCACTGCACCCAGCCAGCCCTAAATATTTTATACATGACTTTTAATATGCATTTTTGAGAGTTTACACTTAAGTATACCCCTCAAATTAAATTGCTCAGCAGTAGCGACTTTTGTCTTCAACTTGATGTAGAACTGACCCAATGTAATGATTCCCATTACTTAGTGATTTCCAAACGCGTAGGTCGTTCCAACAGTGAGAGTAAGGTGACAGTTGTTGCTGTCTTTCCTCACAACTCTGTTATCTGCTGAGATTAACGACAAAATCAAGTCTCTCATTTTTTTTTTTTTTTTGAGCTGGAGTCTCACTACGTCACCCAGACTTGGGGGCAAGGGCATGCTCCCGGCCACCGCAGCCTCGACCTGCTGGGCTCCGGCGATTCTCCCGCCTCAGCCTTCCGAGTAGCTGGAATTATAGTGTGTGCCACCACGCTTGGCTCATTTTTGATTTATTGTAGAGACAAGGTCTTGCCAAGTTACCCAGGCGGGTCTCGAACCCGCGGGCTCAGGCAATCCCCTCGCCTCGGCCTCCCAAAGTGCTGTGATGACAGGCTGAGTCTCTGATTCTATTCAGCAAACAGGTCTAGAGGTAAGCCTAATGAAGCATCCGCTTTCCCCTTTTGGCCTAAAGCTTATTGCCTAAAAAAAGTCACTCAAGGAAGATGTGATAACATATGACAAGATCCAAACTCCAAGAGTATAGAGTCACCAAACGCGGTTAGGGGTCTGGACACAGCGCAGGCGGTGACCCTAGCCAGGTGCCATAGGAGAGCGACCGAAGTTACAAAGCAAACCCTTCCACTTCATTCATGCAAGAGGGCAGGTGTCTGCTGCTATAGCCAAGCCATCCATAATACTTGAGAGAATTAACATCAATGAGCAGAAAACATTCATCCAGATACTTCCTAGTGTATGCGTGCATGTTTATACATATATATAATTCAGATCTATCTTTGTTCCCAAATCTCCTTACACACCCAAATCAGTGGCTCTCATTAAGAACTCTCCCCCAGTCTCTTCATCTTTACTTCCCTTCTTTCCTGCCATTATGTGGTTAACACTGAATCAAAACTATTACCAAGGCTGAGCATGGTGGTTCATGCCTGTAATCCTAGCCCTTTGGGAGGCCGAGGCGAGAGGACCGGTTGAGTCCAGGAGCTGGAGATCAGCCTGAGTAATAAAGCAAAACCTCTTCTCTAAAAAAAAAATAAAAAATAAGCTGGGTGCGGTGGCTGAACCTGTCATCCCAGCACTTTAGGAGGCTGAGGCAAGGGGATTGACTGAGCCCGGGGGGTTTGAGACCACCCTGGGAAACATGGTGAGACCTTGTCTCTACGATAAATAAAAAAATTAGCCAGGTGTGGTAGCACATGCCTATAGTTTCGGCTACTTGGAAGGTTGAGGCAGAAGGATCGCCTAAGCCCAGCAGGTCAAGGCTGCAGTGGCAGGGAGCGTGCCATTGCACTCCAGCCTGGGCGACAGAGTGAGCCTCCAACTCAAAAAAGAAAAAGATAAAGAAAATAGCAACTATAAATAAATTTGCAAGTATGATGATTTCTAAACCCTGTGATTATTTTATAATAATGAATTTTTGCTTTGTTTCAGCACTTTCAATTCTAAAGCATACTAATTTCTTTTTTTTAAACCTAAAAGGTAAAGAGAAAAAAGAGTTCACCTAATAAATGGTGACAGTTTCTTGGATATCATATCTTTATTTGCAATATTTATTTTCTCAGTCCTCAGGAAATCAGGAGAATTTGGTTCCACTATGATTAAATTTCCATCTAAAAGTCATTTTAAGACCCCAAGCAAGGATAATGAATTCCACTCTCTTCGGTCAAAGGCTGCTGATTATGTCTTCTTTTTTTTTTTTTTGAGTTGGCGTC